TTTTGGCGGCAGCAGTACCGGGGAAGCTGTGCAGTCGGCGGTGATGGCGGAAAAGCGCCCTGGAGAGCCCGGAACCACTCAGGAGGGCACCGGACCAGGAGACCACGAGGAAACAGGTAAGAGGAATCCAAAATGGCGGTCTGAACCGGAAGTAACGTTTCAGACTCGCCAGACCATTACGGTAATGTGGGAGTGGATTGGCAGCCTTTTTATAGGGAAACCAAGCCCCTCCCACAACTACAGGCCAAGCCTTTTAATATATATTCTTGATTTTTGTTGAACACAGATAACAAAATAACAAACAAGCGTGCCTTGTCACAACAGCATCAACAAGCATAATAATAACAAATAGTAGAAAACATTACTGTGGCATTCCAGGAAACCGCACAATTTTTGTAGTAATAACACAAAAAAATTACTAAATTAGGCATCAGAACTACAGTACTAGTAGCATGAGCTGAGAGAGATTAGGATTTATCAAAGAAACTGTAGAGCTATGAAAAATTAACTAGATATATACCACTGGGTATGTAAATTGAAATATTGCAGTTATTACACAGGAGTGGAGTAAGACAACTTAATCATGGCTAACATTGTGCACTGTGAGAGCAGTAAGAAATTAGCCAAGCTGCAGGTAATGCCAATGTACCAAATAACCTATGCCTAGGGGTGGAGAGTTCACCCAGCCCTCCTCACCACTAGCTATCTCAATGAGGCTCCCCTCATGGAGCCCAAGCCACCAGGGAGTCTGCTGTATGCGTCATCATGGAGGAACCTGGTCTTCTACCAGAGCTTGTATCCATGATGTTGTGCACCTGCTCACCCACCCACAGGAAATTGAGGTTTTCAGATCATCCCTGCCATGATGAGGGTGAAGGAGCTTGTTCGGGTGTGATTTGTGAAGCTTCTCTGCTGGGGAGGCAGATTCAAGCGGTGACGATCAGCAGGCTGGCTCTGGGCGTTACAATGCTGTAAGCAGGAGTGGAGATAAGCACCTATCCATAAAGCTTTGCCCAGAACAAGTCACAAATGTGATCAAATGCCATAAGTAACAGTTCCACAAGCATAGGTGTATCAGGTTGCAGCTCCTCTGCTCACCTACTTCACACTCCCGTGCTGCATCTCCCTCTCCCTCCACGGAGGCGCTGTGCTGGAGCACGACTCACCGTGCAGCACCGCCGGCCTGATGACCCATGGAGGCCGCTTACAATCCTCCAGAAACCGCCGCTTCCCAAATGTGGCTACACAAAAGGTGGAGCTTCAGGGAAATCCTATGGTGCACATGCCAAAGCAAGGCCTCTAATAGAGACAGGAGGCAGAAACCAAAGAAGGAGGTGTAAACGAAGGAGGAGCTACAGTAAGTGCACCTGCCTCCTCTCCCTATTTAAACTCCACTAACCCTTGACTCTTCGCTCAGTTATACTGAACTCCTGTTACATCAAGACCTTCAGTGACTACCTTGCTGTCTTCTGTTATTGACCTTTGCCTGATTTATCGCTTCTGAATCTGTGCTGCCAGTCCTGACTTTTTGGCTTTCCTGACTATTCTTCATTTGACCTTTCTTTACTGCGAACTTGGTTTACACACTTTCAGTGCTCCTGAATAAAGTATTACTATATCTGTATTAATTACATTATCTGTTTTTCATTTTTCAAGAATGCCCTTAACACTTGCATACTCTCACTTTTGATTGACATATATATTTTATTAGGTACCTCATTTTGATATATTGTCTAACCTCAGGTTTATATTTTAACCTAGCAGAATCAACTATTTAATACCTGGTGAAGGTGATTAGATGAATACAATAATAAGTAAAATAATGAGTTCCAATAGTCATGCTTCAGGGCACACACACTGTTATTATTCTGTAAATTGCAACATTGAATATAGAACAATGAAAATCACCACTAACATAATTATGTAATTCTTTTAATATGAAAGATTTAGCAACTGGCAGTCGTTCTGACTCTAGACCAGGCTTCCCCAAACTCCGGCCCTCCAGATGTTGCTGAACTACAACTCCCATGATTCTCCACTTATCTATTTCATTCATAGAGTCATGGGATTTGTAGTTCAGCAACATCTGGAGGGCCGGAGTTTGAGGAAGCCTACTCTAGACTCTACCTCCTCTCTATTTTGAAAGATAGTTGCAAAGCGTTATTCTGAGAACAATTATTGACAGGAAGCCAAGATAGGGGCACCCGGTTTCATGATAGGGAAATACCTGTTAGGAGTGAATTTAGGTACAAAGTCATTTACGCAAACAAGTTAGTAATGAGATGTATATTGAATACTGTCTTTATATAAATTAATATTTAAGCAGCTCTGAGCAGCAAACAAGAAAATGAATGTGGAGTACAAAATGGCGGGTTGGCTAATTGATTTTTCTGACCTCAGGAAAATATATTTGCTAAATGAACATAGTATATTAAATCCCTGAATGTTACACTTAGCTGTTCAAATTAGAGACAATCTAAATATATCAAAGTAAAACCCTCTGCATATTACTACATAGATGGGACTTTTATTCCTAATGCCCAGATCCTATATAATATTTCTGTGTTAAACTACTCAACATCTCCAAAAAGAATGCACCATGGAATTGCAGTTCCTTTCACCATGATGTTGCTTATTACATTCCAGGAAACTCTAATCTGTAGACTCTGAACACTGGATCCAGTCTTTGTAGATAAAGCTTTTCTATGAAATATGTTATTCCCGAGAGACTGAAAATGAAATTGCCATTGAGACATTTGAGGTGGATTTTTAAATTGGTACAAATATTAGATTCTGTATTTTAGTTCCTGTTTGTCAGTGGGATTTATGTGAGTTCACTGTATCTTTTTCTTTCCACAGTTCAATTGAAAGTTTGTTTACCTTTTCAAAGCAATGTAATGAGTTATTTCCGTCCTTTTATCCTATGCTGTGCACATTTATTATCTGCACAGTGCTTTTACATTGTATCTACTGTTTCATGTTACATGAAATGTATGAAAGTGGTGTAGTCAGCTTTGGATATACCGGAACATTCCGTCCTTGTTGCTACTACCTTCTGGAAAATGTATATCTTCCGGGCAAATGAAGGAGATGGTATAAGTGTTACTCATGGACTTTTGAAAAAGCAAAGAGTACGAACTAGGGGACTATTAAACCTCTACAGTGTTATTCACTGAGGTGAGAATGTAAAGTGAATTCCAGATTTAAAGTTAAAATAGCAGAACTGGAAAAAATATCTTTCAAAGTCTTTCAGTCTGGCTACTCTAGCCTTACCTTTGCAATGTCTCCCGTTAGTGAATAACCATGCAAGTTAAATTAAATTATGGGGGTGGACAGAGATAGCATTCGGATTGTTAATTATTATTTTTTTTTTAATTATTACTTTTTTTTTAAGCCATCCTTTGCAGAGAGCGTTTAGAACTTCAAATCATCAACTAATTTATGAAGTGAACAATAATTTATGAATGTGCATCGTGTTGGTGCTTTGTAAATTTTCCAAATCCCATACTTTGTATAGGATTTACATGCAAAAGCATTGATTATAATCCGCCACAGGCAACTGGACAACTGCCGCAGATTTGCTTAGCCTGACTGAATCCCAACCATATTTAGCTTTAGCAAATATAAAATTGTCACTGCAGTCAGAATTGTGTATGTCCAGTGCTTCTCTATGATGAGCATTGGATTCAATACTGTCCAGTGCGTCTCTATGAGAAGCATTGGATTCAATACTTTTCAGAGAGAAGCACTAGATTAGGGGATTGGGTAATTACTTAATAATTCTAATTGAGTAAAGAAACACATCTCATTTATCTCAATAATACAAAAGTGCTCTGTGCAACAAAGTGCAACAAAGTGTAAAATAATTATATACAATAAAGTGCAAAAAAGTGAATGTTTTATTGTAAGCAGCTAAACCACAATATAGGTACTCTCCACCCTATTTTAATACAGAGAATGGTGAATATATGTTCTAATAAGAACTAATAGTGCCAAGTGCTGAGCGCTAAAATATATAATACAACATAAATATTAAAGCTTACCCTGAAAGGTTTAAGCTATACAGTCAAGATGAAAATAAAAGACATTCCAATAACATAGTGTCCTATCCTGACAACCAAGATATTGTTTTGTTTTATGTACTTCAATACCTGTTTTTCACCACTAGTGGCCTCCCTAACCACTTGTCAATCCTCTCTCTCACCTGTCTCATATGATCTTCCAAGTCTGCTATAAAAGGCCACACCCAACTAAAGGGGTTGCCTTTACACTGAGAGAAGTTGTGTTCTGCTCCTGGCTCTTACTGAAACTTGTTTATGGTCTGATTCAGACAAGACATCTGTTCCTGACACAAACCGATTCCGGATAACCTGCTCAATCCTGATTCATCCACGCATCCTGCTTTTTTTTTTTTTTTTTGTCAATCTTTCTTTATTAAAGGCATATAAGATGGGGGTAGAGAAGAAAAGCAAGGGAAATGTACGAATGATTTACAGCAGAGGGTTGATACATCATTTAGCAATATTATATTACATTTCCAGGATAGCGATGCCTCTTTATTTTATTTTTTTTGTCGCTAAACTATAGGTTGAAAATACAAGCTATGGATCTTAGGGTTAAACAGGCTTAGGAAATATGCCACACTAGGCTATTGGTTAAATAGAGTTTAGATGCTAGACATGCTGAACTGTTGCGTCATGGTTGCTAACAGGTGCATAGTAGTATGCTTTGACCCGCCGGGTGCTTGGCCCTCTGTGTTGTTGTTCCCCCGGTGCACCTTCCAGTTCCATGTCGCTTGAGTGTCCTGTGTCTTCGGCCCGAGGCCTTAGCGGGGGCCCTTGCCACAAGTCCATTGACCCCATCCTCAGGGTCGTGGGCCCAAGGTTTCGCCGGATTCCGGTTGTTCCCCTGGGTGTATGGGTGGCGGTGAGGAGTTACCCTCTGGTGGGCTCCTTGCTCGGAAGAAGAGTGGGGATAGCTACTGGGTGCATGAGGGGTCCCTAGCACTCTGTGGCTGTGTTCCGGTGCTTGATTCCCTCCCATGATTTTGCCTGCAGGCAGAGGGTCTCTCCTCCTGTGGCACCATCCTGGGGCCCTATGTTGTTTATGAGTAAGGCGCTGGCGGCTGCGTTGCTTAGGTTTCTTGTGCTCCAGCATGTGCTCGGTTTATTCAGCTGTGCCCGGTGCTCCAACCGTGCCCAGAAGGCTTCGAAGATAGCGGTGAGTTTGGCTTCATAGTCTGGCATGTCTGTGTGGCGTTCAGGTGTTTCACCTGGTGTGCTTGCTGTCGCCATTTTAGTTGCGCCTCGTGTTCGCCTGTCCTGGTGCTGTGTTTCCTCGGGTTGTAGGCTCAGCCTGAAGCCGCCTCTCCAGTGGCTTGTTGTGGACCGAGATGACCCCCATCGGTCCGGGGGTGGGGGGTAGGAGGTGATGCCCCCGAGGTATCCCCCGACTAGGTCAGTCAGCGCGGTAAGTGGCCGTCTCCCCGGCGCTCGATCTCCGGTAGGCCTCAGGGCTCTTTGTCGGGTTCCCGGTGGGGTATAAGCTTGAGTTTGGTGTTGCGCTATTCTCCCAGGTATCCCCGACATGATTTCTTGTCTCCGGTGTGCGACTGTGCCGTGTTTTTTTGGGTTTACCCCCGAAAAGTACAATAATTAGCAGGAGCTGAAGTGTAGCACAGCCGCTCAGCCTGAGTGCCAGGCTCCGCCCCGCATCCTGCTTTAATTCAAACTGGACTTTGTTTTCTATTATTCATTGCTTTGGATCTAACCTGCCTGGACTTTATCAACCATCTGATTTTTAAACATACCCAGTCCAGCATAGAACTCAGAGCTCCATCAGCTGTTCCATGGCCATTTGAAACAGTCTGATTTTTAAACATACCCAGTCCAGCATAGAACTCAGAGCTCCATCAGCTGTTCCATGGCCATTTGAAACAGGTAGCCTTCTGGAAGACTGACGTTTCATTATATTTCTACATACCCTGTTAATTTTGTTGTATGTGTATGTTTTTGTATTTAGTGACTATTATTTAGTATTATTATTTTCAATGTATACATTTTCATGTCTTTGTAACTATAGCCTGTGCTAATCATGCAAAGTATTTTATCACCTTTGTCTTCGTCCATCATGTTAAAAGTTAGTTTAACCAGCTCAGGCCCATTTATATTTCTTCTTCCTTGTTTAATGGTTTTATTTCCCTACTTAAATACCTCTCTCTTATCTCTGTAATTCTCAATCTTAGCTTTTGTTTTTCCTTAAATGACCTTAAATCAAATGTCCATCTATGCACCCCCCCTCTCCTCATCTCTTAGCCCATCTGACCCTAATATACATCTCTCAGCCACAGTCTGATTTTTAAACATACCCAGTCCAGCATAGAACTCAGAGTTCCATCAGCTGTTCCATGGCCATTTGAAACAGGTAGCCTTCTGGAAGACTGATTTCCCTCCCACCCCTCGCCCACCTCCTCATTTATATATAGTCTCCCACACAACTTTCAATCTCCTGAAATGACAGGTGCAAACACTGATCAGCACACCCTTCCAATCTCTTTCAATAACCCTATAGAACACATACCCTTTCTCCCTACAAATAGATATATCACACACCAATACTATATACTTTTATTTAATTTTTGTTTTTTGTGATTTCTGTTTCATTTTCAACTACACACCTCATACCACTAACATGAATCCAAATATAACCATACTGATATTCTTAATAACCCCTTTTTTCAATCCAGTTTTGTTCACACCACTACCAGCACACACCTCAAACTGGAACACAAATTATCATACACCATGGCATACTCTGTTCTTGTAACTTATCTGCTGAGTGCTGGTGGAGAGTTCTAAAAAATAGCCCTCCTACCCCCACCTCACAAAATTATAAAGTATCCCATTCACTATATGGCCAAACAAAGATGATGTCCAATTTCCTATTCCTTATGTTACTTGCCCTTGCAAATTATGTGGAGTCTAACCCTGGTCCTCCAGCTAATTCTAGTCCTAATCTCCCCACTAAAAAAGGCCTCTCTTTTGTGCACTGCAACATCCATAGTTTACTCCCTAAACTGGATGCCCTGCAAGCCTGGTGTTCCCATTACAAACCAAAAATCATTGTGCTCTCAGAATCATGGTTAACGACTAAAATACCAGACACCGCCATTGCAATAAAGGGTTTTCATGTTTTAGAAATGACAGAGCAAAGAGAGGAGGAGGCATTGTTATTTATGTTGACAATTCCATAAAGTTTACCCCTTTACAAAACCTTAGTCCTCCTGCCACCTTTGATTTCCTTTCTGGCACAATTGAGATCCCGTGCAGTAAATCAATCATTGTTGCAGGAATCTACAGCCCACCTAGCACCCCTGTGCATTTCCTTTCTGACATAGCCCATCTCCTTAGTGAAACCATAGGTCAAAACCCTAAAAGTGAACTGTTGGTCTTTGGAGATTTTAATATTGATTGGCTGAATCCTAAAAATAATAGTTCTTGCACGCTGTTTAAGACTTTGCAGCTAACGCAATTAATCTCCTCCCCAACTCGCATAAACATTAAAAGCCATAACCATACCCTGCTAGATTGGATTCTCTCCAGTTCTCCTGATAGAATCCAGGAGGCCAGTGTTCTCCCAAACACTTTCAGTGATCACTGTTTAGTGTACTGCATGCGCAAAATAAAGGCTATTAAATCCACTCCCAAGGTTAAAATAACTAGGTCCTTCAAAAAATGTAATCTTGAATCTTTTCTAAAGGACATCAAGAACCTCCCATGGCACAGATTAAACATTATCCAAGATCTAGACTGTGCTGTTGAATTATTTCAGTCTGAACTCCTACAAATTTGGAATTTGCATGCCCCGCTGTGTAAGGTGAGGGTAAAAGGAGCACATATGAACTGGATCACAGCTGACCTCATCCAAATGTGCCAGTTTCGGGATTCTTTGAGTTCAAAGTTTAAGCGTACTGGCTCTATGAATGATCACTGTGCATATAGACAATGGCAAAATATATGCACAAAACAGTCAAAATTGGCCAAGGCCCAATATTTCTATGAAAACCTGAACAATAACATCTCAAACCCTAGATACTTTTGGAAAGTCATAAATAACTTGCAAACTTCCCCCAATCCACTCCCAACCCTCCACTGTCAAAGTGGATAACCAAACCCTGCAACTTCCCTTAGATGTAGCAAATGCCTTTAACAATTATTTTGTCGGATGCTCTACTGCCCTAATTGCCAAGCTAATAAATGACACGCATCCTGAAACCACAAATGTGGATCAGGTCCCACTAAATTTGCAAAGTCCCAATATAGACAAGTTCATTTTTAGACCTGTACCTGTTAGTGTCATTGAAAAACATCTTAATAATCTAAAAAGGAAAAACCAGTCCGGACCTGATCAAATCCCAGCAATGCTGTTGAAGCTCAGTGTGCCGGCAATTGCTAAACCCGTCGCAACTCTAATTAACGAATCCTTGGTGTTTGGATACATACCCAAACATTGGAAGACTGCAAGAGTAGTGCCTATCCATAAAAGTGGTGACACTACTTTGGATTCTAACTATCGCCCAATATCATTGCTCCCGGTATTGTCAAAAATCTTAAAAAAATGTGTCCATATGCAACTATGTGAGTACTACCAACAATCAAACTATCTGACCCCTGATCAATCGGGCTTTCACCAGAATCATTCCACTACAACTGCCCTCTTAAAAGTTTGCAATGACATCCAAACTGGCATGGAACAAGGAGACCTAACTGGAGCTATTTTCCTTGATTTTGCTAAGGCCTTTGACACAGTAGACCACAACATTCTACTGCACAAACTCAAAAACTCTGGTATTGGTGATCGTTCGCTAAACTGGTTTTGATCGTATGTATCGGATTGCTCGCAATATGTGTCCATTTCTGACAGCGACTCCCTCCCTTTCCCAGTCACGTGTGGTGTTCCCCAAGGTTCCATTCTCGGCCCCCTACTATTTACATTATTTATAAATGATCTGCCTAATGTCTGCAAATCCTCAAATGTACACATGTACGCAGATGACACAGTAATTTATGCGAGCAATTCCGATCTACCGCAGCTTGAGGCTGTGCTCCAAGACCAGTTTACAGAGGTAGAAAAATGGATTGCAAAAAACAAACTCTTCCTGAACACTGACAAAACTGTCACAATGATCTTTGGAACAGTACCTAAATTACACAAATTACACAATTCCCACCTATCCATCAAAACAAATTCAAATGGCACACTGACCACAGTCCACTCTTTCAAATACTTGGGTATGATGTTAGACCCCAATCTAACTTTTGGCCTGCACATAGAAAAGCTTGCATCTAAACTTTATACAAAACTAGGTGCCTTGTACAGAAACAAAGCCTGCCTAAGCCCTACAGTAAAGGAAAAGATTGTACAGCAAATGCTGATGCCAATCATTGATTATGGGGATGTAGTATATGCATCTGCATCGCAATGCCACATTAATAAACACATTGTATAACTCATTCTGCCGATTTGTGCTACAATGTAATTACAGGACTCACCATTGTGACATGCTAAAAGAACTAAACTGGCTGTCGCTGGAATCCAGACCCACCCTTCATCTTTCTGGCCTTGTGTTTAAGACCTTTTCTGGGAAACTTCCACTCTACCTGAACAAAATGCTTTCCTCAACTGTTCCCACCTCTTATAACCTCCGATCCAGTACCAACACTTTACTTAGTCTACCTCAATACAAAAAGAAAGCAGTCCGATTTTCCTTCTCCTACAGAGTACCGCAATTGTGGAACGACCTCCCGCACAATTTAAAATCTTCCCTAAGCCTAAAGTCCTTTAAGAGATCCCTCTCTACATACCTCAAAACAGAATGCACCTGTCATGGTTGATTATATATTTCCTGCCTGTTCTATGTTAAATATTGTATTTATTGTGTATTAATATTGTTTTTCTATTTTATTGTACCCTAATTGTAACAATGCAATGATTTGTGGACCCAGGACATACTTGAAAATGAGAGAAATCTTTCCTGGTAAAATATGTTATAAATAAATAATAAATAAATTGCAACTCTCTTGGGAAACCCTGAACCACATATCTGATAACTTCAGTACAAATCCTCCAAACTAAAGAGACTGTCCACCTTAACTTAGAACCAACCTGAATTCCATTATCCTTTATTATGCTGTTCAATATTGTCTGATAATATTATGTTTACTTGTTACCTATTATTTCACTGATAGGTTTCCCTTTCTCCTTTAAACCTGCTTTGGGGCATATTGCCTAAACT